TTTGGGGTTTTTTGTTTTTTTGAAAATTCAATAGATGTCATGTCATCACCTGAGGCTCCATTTAGTTACAAATTAAATTTTGATACTCTTGATTCGTGGAAAGTTAATAATTAAACTTTAAAGTTTTTTTAATCTCTCTTTTAATTGCCCTTAAAGTCATTTAGACAATTGCTAAAAAATCTCTCTTTTAATTGCCCTTAAAGTCATATAGACAATTGCTAAAAAAAATTTTTAAAAATCAAATTTAAACAATTATTTCTTTTTGTGTGACTCACAAGCCTCGAATACTTTTTACAGATGAAAATGCAAAGTCAAATTGCACAGAAAACAGTTTTAATTTTAGTGCTTGTGTTTATTTGTTTCTACTGCTGCAGCTGCAGCTGTGGCACTGAAATGCGATTGTTCTGTGGTGTAGAACTGATTGGCGCGCTGGTTAACTGTTGCGTGAACAGGAACATTATGTCTGGGACATCCTGTTTCCTGTAGACGTGGACCTGGAAGAGGAAGTGCGGCTCGCGGAGGCTGATTGATGGCAGACACAATGACTGATCCTCTGAGCGGTGGAGCTGAGTGATGTGACCTAAACATTCCTGTGTCAACTTACAAACCACCATGCAGACTTTCTCTGCATTTAACTCTGATTAAAACGTCATTATAGCAGTGAACATGTACAGAGCAGTAAACCTGTTACTAAGAGACTAATACATTAAAATGTACCGACTAAAGACCAATCAGCAGGCTGCAGGATGAGCTTTACTCCCAGTGCAGGGATTAACAGGGAGTGTGAAATGAAGTCTGATTACGTCCCCCACCCCTCGGCCCCAAACACACACACACACACACACACAAAGAGACCCCCTGTCATCCTCTCTCTGATATTGCCTAAGCCGCTGTAAAGTCAAAGACACATCCTCCTAATGGTATTACCCCCAACATCGACCGTCTCTGCCTTCTCTGTGACATTAGAACATCCCTAAAAAAACACAGTCACATTCAAAGACACGTGGCCTCGGCAGCATCTGTTCCTCCAACTCCCATAATCCCTGTAGATGCTGGAGAGGTGACATCTGCTCCTCCCGGCACAGCCCTTTCATCTGTGATGATGATGTCGGAGGTCGGAGTCGGTGTGAACTCGGGTGCACAGTTACTGCTGACACTGTGCCTGGTCTGAATGGTGACTTCAGTGTAGACTACAACCGTTTGTGGTTGTGACCTGAGTACCGTTGTATCCTTAGGGTTCATCCTGTCAGTGATTTTATCAGACTAATATTTTGTTTTAATCCCTTGTCGACGGTGGTTCGTTTGCGGGCGTTGTCATTTCTTTATTCTTTTCCTATTAATTTAGAAGTTGTTGAAATTTGACACAACTCACAGTGGCTGTAAAATATATTCTGTTTTATTCTATTCATTTTTACCCTGGTATTTTATATATTTGTTTTATTCTACAAGTAGTCTTTTATAGTCTAGTAACTCAAATCCACTACTTTTTCTATTCTGGACTGGACCAGTCAGGTCTAGTATCATCATTTCTATTCTGTTCCATCCTAGTCTGGTCTAGTCTAGTCTGGTCTGGTCTAGTCTGGTCTGGGCTAGTCTAGTCTAGTCTAGTCTTGTCTAGTCTGGTCTGGGCTAGTCTAGTCTAGTCTAATCAAGTCTATTCTAGTCTACTCAAGTCTGGTCTAGTCTTGTCTAGTCTGGTCTGGGCTAGTCTAGTCTGGTCTGGTCTGGTCTAGTTTAGTCTATTCCATGTATATTCTATTCCAGTATCTTCTTATCTTCAGTCCAAGAGATTTCCCTCAGGTTTCCTCACATCTACATACAGTAGCTCCACTGTGATGACTTTCTGTGTCACGTCGTCTCTGACCTTGTTGTTTCCTGGTGTTTGTACTTCCTCAGGTCAAAGAAGAGATGCTGCTGGAGGCGCTGACGACCAGGAAAACTGTGACTGTCGGAGAAAGGCTGATCGTTCCCTACAAACTGTCTGAGGTGACGTGTTACGTGAATCCAGCAATCGTCTGTGCACACACTGGCAACATAATAATACATCCATACATCCATACACCCAGGCCCCCACACACAGTGTAACTGACTGACTCTAAAAACAACAGCCACCAACTCTAACTCAGGACGTCTTTACAGAATTCCATTTGCTGATAAAGTGTCTGGAGCTGGAGTGAATTCCTGGCTGTTTCAAACAAACTGCAGCCAAACATTTTGTTATAATGCGTCAGCTGCAGGACAGATTCTGTGTGTGTGTGTGTGTGTGTTTGTTGTGGCACTCCCCCAGCCTCCACCTCTTCTGTCTAAGGCTTTTTTGATAGGGGTCTCTTCCTCTGTGGCTTCCTGTTTCCTGTTGAGTTGAGCCACAGTGTGACTTAACCATGTCCATACAAACATGTTCACTAACACACTACAGAATTCACCTTTAGGATGCCTGAGATGACCTTTATGGACTGGTGTGGAGTAGATGACGGACGTTTGTTTCCTCTGTTTCTGACTGCAGCATCTTTTTTTTTTTTTTCCCCGGAAAAAAGCGATGTTTATTCTGTTTCCTGCCGTGTTTGTCTACACCCTTCATGTCTGATCTTTGGGAGAATTCAGACCAACAATGGTTGCTCCCACTGTAACACACCCCCCATCTCTGAAGTCATGTGGTCCTGCCTTAGGAATGTGCAACCTCCACTGGAATATACAGTACACAGGCCAGAAACCAGAGCCGGGGTCTGCCTGTCTGTCTGCCTCCGTGTCAGACTCTTACTTTCTTATTGGCTCAGTCACATTTCAAACACGTGACTTTATTTCTACAGTCGTTCTGCAGAAGACGTGAATCTGAACTTTAGAATCATATACATCATATATCATTTATATTTAGCCTGCGGCTATGAAATCTTTAAACTACAGCTGCCGTACAAAAGGTCTAATCTTATTAGAGACAGAGTAGTTGTAGAGTAATCACGATTAATTATGATTAGTCCTGGTAAATAAAACACTTTTGTAAAATGACGAGAAATATATATTTACAGAGGAATAGACCCCTTAAATTAATTAACACATTCAAAATAATAATTTTGACAGCCATATTTTAATCATGCAGATTCTGGTTACATACAATAGGTTGATATCATTAGAAAAACAACATATCTTTTCTTGTGAGAATCCTTGACATGACTGCTTTAACACCACATTTAAAAATGTATTTGTTCCATATGCATAAAAACCTTCATAAAAAAAACATTTCGGTGTAGATTAAACCTCACAGGAGTGTGCAGAGAAACTTAGCCAAGACCTGGGAGGGTAACACGTATCAGTTAACGTATATGAAACACACGTGCAAATTCACACACTGCCAAACATTAGGCCACGTGCTGAGTGAGCTCACGCTGATGTTTCACACCTCCTGTGGATTTCTGGAAAAACAAACAGTCAATGATTTGGAGAGAGAGAGAGAGCGAGAGAGCCTCATATTCACCAACACCAGCTAACTCCTGAGTTTACGACCTGGACCGTCACGGCCCGCCAAGGCCTCAGATTAAGTCTTGCTAATTATTGTGTCAGTTTCCTGGGTGGCCTCATCGAAAACTGTGTGTTTTTTTTATCTCGTTGGCTTCCAGTCAGGGCCTAACTGGTGCCATTGTTATAAATGATTAAATCTCACGGCAAACGCAGAGACAATAGATACTCAGCGAGTGTGTCGGAACAAGAGCGAGAAGCCTGACTGTGTGTCGGTAATGAGGCGTTTCAATTATGCAGCTTTTTTTTTTCAATTATGTTTTTCATAATTCAGCCTTACATAACATGGAGGGATGACGGGCATGACACGACCGCTGGCTAAAAATACCCCAGATAATCAATAATACAAGAGCCAAGAGTCTGCTTTTAAACTGTACAGCTCTGCATCGTCACGGTCCGAGTAGACGAGGGTTCACCTCCGGCTGAATACAAAATAAAAGTAGTGCAGTAAGTCGCACTCTTTTTTGCTGGATTTGTGACTTATACTCAGGTGCGACTTATACATTAAAATATATAATTTCACATGTTTGTTATTTTCACACTGACAGCCACTAGAGGGCACTCTAGACTTGTGTACCAGTATCTGCTACACCTGTAAGTCGGACTGTTTTTCATCCTTTGGCTGGTGCCGCTTATAGTCCAGAAAATACAGTAACTAGAAGACTGTCCTGCTCTCTATGTAGGTCTCCTTTTAAAGCCTTCTCCAAATGCTGCATTGAGTGCAGTACTACTATTAGCCAACAGGGGCTAGATGTTAGAATGCAGTACTACTATTAGCCAACAGGGGCCAGATGTTAGAAAAATGTGTTTTAAAAACCCCTAACTTCATATTTGCTGCACTGTCAATCACAAATAGTCGATCCCCCGAAAAAACACAAGTTGATGTTTCTATGAACGACAACGTGGCAGCTGTTTTATCTGCAGACCAGAGGTTTGAATGTGGCAGTAAATACCACTAAAAGCCTTGGCCTTGGTTTGAGTTCCTTGGTCGACCAATTGGTGGAACTCATTGATTATATTCTTTCAACTATTCTTGGCTTTTGCTCGTATTTGAATTATGTTTCATTTTTCAATATATTTTTCCCATTTATTTGCAGAGCTTTTTTATGTGTTGTTCTCTTTTGTATTACTTACCTATTTTTGGGGAAACCTGGCCCAGAAATGGAACAATGGAACCGAACAGATTTTCCTTTGTCCTGCTTCTCTGCAGGTCAATCATAACACGTTCAGCTGCCAAAGAACTTGTACTCTCCAAGTCTCCAAGTGTCCATTTAAACTCACTTAGCTTTTCTTTCGCTCTGCTGTAGGGGAAGTCGTGGACTTTTTTGGCTTCTGGAGACACACTGGCTCATCCCTGCCAGCCAGTGTTGTTCTTCCTGACCATTAAAACCTAATCCAAAAATGTAATCTGCGAAACAGCAGGCACTTAAGGCTGTGCCTCCTGACTGAGAGCCGTACCACACACAGCAGGATGACCGAACATAAAAAACATTTACCCAGAGCTGTTAGCAGTGTGGGAGCGCTAACACGGGCGCTAAATACACGCTGCTGCAGCTGCAGTCTCATTTACCAAAGCACAGCTACAGAGTTTTTATTACTGAACTTAATAGTACGTATTTTGTTGGTCCAATGTGTTGAATCCTCTCTCTAATTGTCCACCATGAGGTTTTTTTTTTTCAACTGGTCCATCTTCGTCCTCTCAGTCGTCATCCTGTCAGATGACTCAGCTGCAGACCGTCCTGTTCATTAGTGCTACTCCACAACAGTGGACTCTAATGTTCTGCTGCTGAAGTTGGCAGGTGCTTCATTTGTTTTTAATAAAATGGGGTTCTAAAAATACAAAAGGTATTTTTATACTATACTAGTCTAAACACTGTCTCCAAATACACATACATATGTACATATATGTTTAAATATGTATGTACTGTATGTGTAAATATATCCATATATTTATACACATATATACACATATAAAACATATAAATATTTATATATTTGTATACATAAATATATATACATACATCTTTACATTCATACTGTTTATGTATGTGTATATATCTGTACACATGTATATATGTATACAAATATATAAATATTTATATGTTTGTACAGTATACATATACACACATATATTTATACATATATTTTAATGACCTGCATTCACTGATAAATGTGCAGGTTTTGACTTTAAAGAAACTTACGTTCTCTGTGTTTGGTTTTTTTGTGTATGTGTGTATTTGTGTGTGGGTGTGGGTGTGTGTGTGTGTGTAGGCCGGCACCGTGAGGGACTCCATGGCCAAGTCACTGTACAGTGCACTGTTTGACTGGATCGTGTTCAGGACCAACCACGCCCTGCTCAACAACAAGGACCTGGAGGACACTTCAAAGGTGGGACGTCAAACAACAACATGCAGAGAAATGTCATGTTTTCATCCACCAGGGGACACTAGGGGACACCCGGAGCTGGGACGTACACTAACTCTCACCATGTGGTTAGGTCTATCTACTGTAAATAAAGTTGTCCATCCTGACATTTAACATCACAGCTCACCGTAATTATCATGGAGAAAAAAAGGAAAACACACTAAACTCTCTTACTTTGGGAAACAAAGAAGAATGAAGGTGAAATCAGCAGAGTCTGGATGTGAGGTTCAGTGGTTCAGTGGTTCACAGTGGTACTGTGTTGTGATGTCTGCTGGTTGTTTCCTTTTAATGAACTGCCAGATGGGGCAGAGATAACTTTCCGTAGTGGCAGACAGTGAGATTGTTGTTGTCTGGTCGCCAGCGTAATTATAGTTTAATGACTTTTTAACAAGTAAAGAAGTAAAGAAGTACTTTAATCAGGTTATTGTCAATATACTGGGGTTTTTACATCAGTCCAGTTTAATTACAGTCACTTTGTCACAATGTTTCCGTCTGTCTCTGTCCGTCTCTCTGTCTCTCTGTCCATCTGTCTCTGTCTGTCCGTCTGTCTCTGTCTGTCTGTCTGTCCGTCTGTCTGTCATATGTCTGTCTGTCTGTCTGTCCGTCTGTCTCTGTCCGTCTCTCTGTCTATCTGTCTGTCTGTCTCTGTCTCTCTGTCTCCCTGTCCGTCTGTCTCTGTCTGTCCGTCTGTCTCTGTCTGTCTCTGTCTGTCTCTCTGTCTGTCTGTCTGTCCGTCTGTCTGTCATATGTCTGTCTGTCTGTCTGTCCGTCTGTCTCTGTCCGTCTCTCTGTCTATCTGTCTGTCTGTCTCTGTCTCTCTGTCTCCCTGTCCGTCTGTCTCTGTCTGTCCGTCTGTCTCTGTCTGTCTCTGTCTGTCTCTCTGTCTGTCTGTCTGTCCGTCTGTCTGTCATATGTCTGTCTCTGTCTCTCT